TTGTGTATGTGCTATTCATGGTTGTACGTGGGCTGGGATGCTGCCAGGGCGCCCACACCTAGACAGGAGGAGGAGGACGATTAGGGTCCTCAACCAAAGCCTTTGGCTCAAAAGCCTAACCGCAAGGTAGCGGTGTTTGGCGGGAAATGCAAATGCATTACCATTTCTACGGAACAAGTCGCCACATGTTCCAACCCCCAACCTGGAGGGCCAGGAGACTGTGTTCGTCAGACCTCTAACCATTGACCAACCTGGTATGAGAGACTCTGTGAGTGTCGCGGGACACTCTCCAGTATAGCTCAATGGATCGCTGAGGTGCGCAAACCGTCACACCACGGTAAGGTCCAGTCTCTTCGTGACGGCCACATTGAACGAACCCATACGGGACCAGCTACCGGGTATTCCGGTCGTACGTCAGAAATCTAACCCTTCAGACAATTTTAGAGTTGAACCACCTCTGGTACGCAACTAAAACCGCTGAATAGCGCGGGACTGCATTGGATTACCAAACCAGAATTAGTTACAAAACCAACTGCGACATAATCCTAGGAGCAAATCAAAGGCGTGTTGGATGTGGAAATTCTTCCTCATCCCTGTGTCCGGACTACGAAACAAAATTAGTGATTGACAGCGAGTTCAAGCCATCGGAATACCTGTGACAGGTGATTGATCTCGTTACTTTTGGAGCGGAAATGTATATGCGAAAATCAAGAAATGTTTCCAACAGAAGATACTGATTTAACAAACAACAATACACCGCTGACAAGCCGCCGAACAGAAGTAGCACATGGATTGGAAGGACCAATTTCAGATTGTACTCTAGATAACTCCACTGAAATGAGGAGAATACAAGCTTGAATAAGAGGAGTGAGCCACACCCATTCAAACAACAGCTGTTGAACTAAAAATGTCCAAACTGAACGGGTTTACTAACCGCATTCAAAAGAGTGATTGACTTAGCCGTAATCCAGTAAGATCCAATAATAAGAAAATCCTTGGGACAACTTGGAAACATGAGAAACGAGTGTTTTGTGGTGTAATGAGAAAACGTAAACATATGCAGAATTCGTTGGAAACTATCGAGAAGGTGGCATAGTGAGCGAAGTGAGATGACGTAAGTCGTTGGAACAATGACATATGGTAGTAGATGCAAACGGACGTATCCAACCGGCCAAGTATGAGCCCATACAAGATGAGAAAAGACCCGAGAATTGGACGCAACTGTCCGTCGCCTGAAACGGATGGTTTGTTATCAAACGATAATCGATGTACCTTTTGTAAGACGAATCAGAAGCCCGTAACGGAGTCAAGATTTATTTGAGATCAATCAACTTAACATATGAATTACAGTCCTTGATGAGGAAAACAAGGGTAGCGCCTTTGTATTCAGTTACCATTCCAGGTTTACATCTTCAGGATGTCCTAATATCCCCATAATCTATGTCACCTCTGTCACCATCAAGAAGTCCACTGGAATGGCTATACTGCACTATCCTCCCAACTACCACCAAGTTTCAATGGGAATGTGTTTCGACTGACACAAACTCTGCCAATTGAGCTTCCTGTGACATCCGCACAAGATATGCAGCCATTGCAACTGTGGATTCGGACCTTGTTGAAAACATGGCACTGCTTTCAAAATCGAAGGTGTCGCACAACTGTACAAGTTACTTTATTCTTTGTACAACGAAACCGCACCATCAGTACTATGAACTGGCTAGTGTTGACTGCTTCAGGTCAAGGTCGTTACGTTGCACTACAGCCGATGTTTCATGGGACCCTTATGCTTTTATACCTCAGTCATAAGGCACTTCGGAAAGAACGTAGGGTCTTAAGCATTCTGATACAAGGAAAAAGGAAGGGTTAGATGGTATCATCCAAAGAGATATGTGGCAACATATGGAAGGACATTTTGGTTTTAAACTCATCACCCGAGTTTGGTAGATTTATTAGGTCACTGGAGAGTGAACCTCGTCATTTCGCACACGGTCCGCGGAAATTCTGCTCTCCAGAATTGAGAGTTTGGCTTCGGAACTTCAACCTCTAGTTCCCGAATGATTGGTAAGTTACGCATTGCATCCAAGAAGTCAGTATGAAACCAGCCAGTGTTTCTTAACCAGATTTTTTACGCCATTGACACTCAAACAACCCTAGTTGTATGTCTGCTGGTGACCCAAATAGGTCTGGTACCTCTTTTCCCACACACCCCAATTTTTACCAACACTATGAAATTCCCCAGGATATCTCATGTTCAACTAGACTACGTGCTTATCGAAAACAG